TCCAGAGGAGCAGTTGCTGGTGGCCATGCACGGGAATCAGCCACTTCAGTTCAGGTATTTATTAATTTTCTCTACTTTGTATGACATTAGTTGCTGTGGAAGCTTATCAGAAAGTATTTTTCAATCAAATATCTTTTAAAGGAATCTCTATAATATACAGTGCGTGCCTGATTTGTAGATGAGTTGCATTTTTTCCCAACCCTTTGGGAAGCTTTAAGTAGATAGTACTGTAGTAAAGCTTGATGAGATTTTTCTTTATCTCGGTTTCTTTAATATTTACAGAATATTCCAGTTGGATTTTCAGTGAACATAAATAGCATTCATATAAAGCATGCTAGCTAGCTAATTAATAACCATTCCAGTAAATCCTTGTTTTTACTTTTATAGTGATTTTAAAAGAAGGTTAAACTGAAATTTAGAAGACTTTTTTTTTTTAAACTTTTAGGGAAAAAAATGTCTGTTAATTTTGTCCATCATAGACTTAGAAAATTAAAGTATAGTGCATTTTTAAAAGAATTATTTATTTATTTAATTTTATTTGTTATTATTTTTACTTATAATTTCACAAGAGGGAGACAGAGACAAAAAGGGAAAGTGAGAAAGCAAGCCGCCAGATCTGTGACTCGAACCATGGTTGGCCATGTGGGAGTCCAGCATCATAACCACCATGTCACCTGCTGGCGCCGAAGTATAGTTTAGAATGTAGGAGAGAACAAAGCAGAGTTTGAAACCTCATCCTTTGCTGAAGGCTATAGCAAACTAAAGGACAGAAAAAAAATCTTAACAGCTACTAAAAACATCAGGGTATGAGATGAATTAAGATTTAGACCTAGAACAAGAAGTTACAGGTTGACTTATTGTGCTTGTATTTATTTACTTTTAATTTCTCGTGTGTGTGTGTATGCACATAGTTGTGTGATCTGCATACACACATATGTACACACACACTCTTCTTAGGGAGTAGGTGTGTCAGGAAGGATATTTTTACCCCTCTGTTCCTGTATGTTATCCTTTATTCATTAAGATTCTTTTTGAGGAGATTCATTACTTCTCCAGTTAACTTTTGCTAAGAAAACCATTTTCTTTTTTTTTTTAAAGATTTATTTAATTTGGGACCAGCAGTTGGCATAATGGCTATGTCAGTGGACTCTCATGTGGTTGACCATGATTCGAGTCCCAGACCTGGTGGCTTAAATTCACGCTTGGCATGTGTGCCCAAGATCCCGAGAAGAGAATGGAGGGAATGCAGCGTGGCCATCCCCCCCATCCCTGGGGGATGATTTCTTGCTTGCTTTCTCTCTGTCTCCCTCTGCCTTTCTGGTGAGCTCATGCACCCTATAGCAAAACCCTCTCTCCCTTCCCCCCCCCAAAAAAAAAAAAACCTTATTTAATTTTATTTATCTTTATTTGTTTGTTTGTTTGTTTGTTTTAATTTGCTATAGGCACTTACCAGAGAGAGAGAGGGCAAGCAAGAGGGAAAGTGAGAAAGCAAGTTGCCAGGTCTGGGACTTGAACCATGATCAGCCATGTGGGAGTACAGCGCCTTAACCACCACACCATCTGCTGGCCCCAAGAACACCATTTTTAACTAGAAGTTGAATTAAAAGTGTGTGAATTGAAATGGTTATATATGGTTATATATATATCATTGCTTTGATAGCTTTGGCATATTAATATATTAGAAATTATGGTATTACCAATTGCTTGTGCACAACTAATCACTTTCCATTTGGGTTTGGGTGTTTAAATAGCTTAGTTTGCCAACTTAGATATTACATGGTTTGTCTAATGTGTATAATTCCAGCTGTGTCATTTATTAAGGCAGAAGCTTGCAGTTTTACACAAGGAGTAAACCAATTATAATGCAAAACGAAGACTGTTGTTTTGACCTAACCTTTTCCCTTATTTAGTTTCATCTCATTGCAGTGTAGGCCAACAATGGTACTGGATGATCTTTAGTTTGTAGCCTTAGAACTTTTAGCATCATCAGATAATGAATTTTGTAAAGTATAACCACTTCAAATAGGAATTCCGTGCATTGCACAAGTTGACGAGTTATCTGTATGCACACTGGATAACTGGGTAGAGAAGCCAAGAAGCACACAAGCTGCATGGACTCTGACAGGTCTAAGCTTGAGTTGACTTGGCCTTTTGAAAGCTTTCTGATTTTGTAGAAGTTACTTCTGAACTCAGTTCTATAGATCTAAAGATGACAGTATCTACTTCAAAGGATTTTTGTGAAGATGAAATGAAAATAAATTTGAAAATAAGTGAAAAAAAATCAGTCTGCCAAAAAATAATTTCCTAGTACAATTCTATTTTTCATACAAATAAAAACTGCTTAGGTGTGGCAAGATGCATTAAGACTTCCTAAGATTTGTTTTATTTAGGCCTCAGGATTTTGTTTTTCTAAATGGGTTATGCAAAATGAGTAGAATTTGGAGGTGGATATTGAGAAAGAGAAACTGTTGGAAGAAACTGAAAGGAGGAGTGGAAAGATTGTAACAAAATGGGTGAGCCCTACTAGTGACTGAGTCAGAATGCATAGAGACAGCAGGGACCTTTATTCTCACCCCGTGGTTGTAAGGGGCACTTGTGGTCAGCATTCACTTTGCTAGCCTTCAGATTCTGCTGGAGAAGAATGTTAATCTAGTCCTTTGGGATAGGATTTGATTTATTAACATTTTTCTTAAAATGTCTTTCCTACTTGCTGCAGTCTATGGGACAGCATAGAAATTCTCATGTTAATGACAGTAAACTTTGGTTTATTTTTATTTATTTACTTTTTTTTTGGGGGGGGGAGGCTTTTGCTATAGGACACGTGCACTCACCAGAAAGACAGAGAGAGACAGAGAGACAGAAAGCAAGAAATCACCCCCAGGAAGGGACGGCCACACCACAATCCTTTCTCCTCCATTCTCCTCTCGGGATCTTGTGCACACATGCACACGCGCCCGGCTTGTGTTTGAGCCACCGGGTCCAGGACTTGAACCACAGTCAACTACATGGGAGTCCAGCAACATAGCCATTACGCTAACTGCTGGTCCCTTTATTTACTTATTTTGAGTTTTTTGCCTTAGGGCGTGTGCGCTTCCCAAAAAGACAGAAACAGAAAGAAAGTGAGAAATCACCTGGTGGGGGGATGGTCACGCTGCAATCCCTTCTCCTCCATTCTCCTCTCAGGATCTTGACCACGCATGCACACATGTCCGGTGTGATTTTCAAGCCACTCAGTTCTGGACTCAAGTGCAGTCAGCTATGTAGGAATCCAGCAAAGTAACCACTGCACTGTCTGCTGGCCCAACATGAGATTTCGAAGGTAAACTCGAAATGGTATTTTCATATTCAGAGCTCAGTTCAATTAAGCAAACATGGGGAACAGTTCTTTGTTTTGTGAAGTCAGACAAATAATATAGTTATCATTTTCCAATTTCTTTCACTTTTCAGTGTATGTGTTATGTGACATTGTCCAACTTTATTTTTTGGCACTATTTTTTTTTTTTTTAGTCTACCCAGAAAATCTTAAAATTTTAATAACTATGTCTTTCTTTGGTTTCCGATGTATTATAATAATTTTTTAGTGAAGCGGGATAAAGCCAACCAAGAAGAAATCTTTTAAGCTTATAAAATGTTTCTAATTAAATCAGTTCTCAGCAGTGGATCCAGCAAGCCTCAGAGGGTTCTAACCTTGATGTAAAAGCTTTCCTTGATCATTTTTAAGAGAGTGAGTCTTCTTTTTTAGTAAATAATTTTTTTCTGAAAACCCAGAGTTCACTGCATTTCATTTTCTCATTAATACTCTTATAAATTTTAGAAAAGGGAAGGTGGTGGTATCTACATTTTACAACTGAGAAAGAGATCAAAACTATTCTTTGTGGGCAAAGATTAAAAAAATATTATAACAGCAACAAACTCTTCAAATCCGTCCTTTTTTAAAAAAGACAATTATGTATGTTATGTTAACAATTTTCTTTTTTTAGGTAGGAATCTTTAATGAAATAACCAGGATGCCCTTTTCTTAGGTGTATGGTTAAAAAGAGATAATGATAGGGCCAGCAGGTGGTATTGTGGTTAAGGTGCTGGATTCCCACATGGGCTGTGTTGGGTGGAGTCCTAGACATCGTGGCTTGAAACTCACGCCAGGCACTTGTGCATGTATTCCCAAAATCCCAGGAGGAGAATGGAGGAGAAGGGAATGCAGTGTGGCCATCTCCCTGGGATGGGACACTTTTCCTCTGTCTCTCTTGAGCAAGCACACACACCCTATGGCAAACCCCCTCCCCCCAAAAAAAGAAAAGAGAGACAAATAATGTCATAAATGTTGTATTCAACCCTGAACTCACGTAAAATTTTACAATATTGCTCTGGATGTTATTTGAGAATTTAGGTAATTAGTGAGTAATCTCTTTACATTAATTGGTTATAGAAAAGGAGGCTATGAGCCTTTTTTGTTCTTATTATTAGACATCTAATTGATATGCTACTGGGAAAATGTTATTAGCCAAAGAGTTGTTTTGATAGCTTTAAATTTTTAGAGTATCACAAAAGGGAGAAAGAAGAGAATCACTAATACTTCGGTGTATTATTTTAAAATTGAGTTATTGACAATATTTTTTTTAACCAGAAAGTTGGCATTCTCAGACTGAGTGTAACCAATCCTACATTTTCCCCTTCATTTATTTAGTCATCTACCTAAGATTCATGCAAATTTTCTCTTCTGTGGATGGACACTTGAATTTATGACTGAATAAACAGAAATAAGCAACAAAATGAGGAAATTAAAGCTTAAGATTTTGGCCTTACTGATTTTCGTTTACTTTACTATTTGGGTAGCATTTTTTTTTTTAATATTTTATTTAACTTTATTTATTCACTTATTGATTTCAATTTGACCAGAGAGGGGTAGAGTGTGAGAGAGAGAGAGAGAGAAAGCAAGCCGCCAGATCTGGGACTTGAACCGCAGTCGGCCCTGTGGGAATCCAGCACCCTTAACCACTGAACCACCTGCTAGCCCCATCTTTTTTTTTGTTTTAAAGAATTACTTTATTTAACTTTATTTATTTAATTTTATTTTTAATTTGACTAGAGAGGGAAAGACAATGTCAGAAAACAAACTACCAGGTCTGGGACTCAAACCGTGGTCAGCCATGTGGGAGTCCAGCATCATTAACCACCATGCCACCTGCCGGCCCCTGGGTAGCATTTCTTTTTGCCATTTTTCCTGTATAAAATTTGATATTCTAATTTTTAAATTCCTTGTCAGAAAGAAATACTTATTAGACTTATTTAGAAATTCTACAGAAGGGGCAAATCCTAACATGGTAAATATTATAATTGGCTATGTTTTATATAACTCAAAATTGGGGGTTGATAAGTATACAGTTGTACATTATACTTGATATCATACTTAATATTTCATGGTGGTGAGGCATAAGGTGTCCTCTGAAATGGAAGATTAAGTTACCCAGTGGATTTTATGTTTCTTCTAAGCTTCCACTTAAGTACAAGACCTAATGCTATCAGTATTAAAACTATTGACATTTATCTACTCTGTCCCTAAGCAAGAAAAGGAAAGAACTGGAAATAATATGAAAGACAGTGTCACTATTTTAAGTGTTCTTTTTCTGAGTTATTCAGGTACAAGGAGTTTAAAAAGTTAGGGGTACCCTCATTTCATCAAAACCAGGAGTAGACTTACATTATGGCCAGATACAGTCTATATAGGAACAGGACTATTAGCAGGGTAATATAAACAAAGTACTATTTTATTCATAAACATTAGAATAAATCCCAGTTTAATATTTTACTTATTGGCTCTACTTTTTCTGTGATAGCAGTTTTATTACTGATTTACTTTAAGGTTGTTACATATGTTAAACTATCTTTGGGTGATAGTGTTGAAATTGTATATATTTTTAAATAGTTAAAATTATTTAATATATTTACCAGAAAAACCCTGAGAGGAAAAAAACCTTGGCCAATATCACAATTTTAATATGTCTCTTATCTCAAGTGCTCAAATTATATGTTAAAAATAATGATTTTTTTTTTAATAGCATCTGATTACAATCTGTTTTGGAAAATCTGTTTCTTAAAAAACAATAGAAACCATTCTTGGAGTAGGTGGTTCACTTTCTCTCCTCCCAAGCATCACTTACCTGTTCTGCTTACCAAGTTACTTGGGCTGTGTCCTATCACATTTTTAAACATTTAACTTTATTACGCTTGAGAAACGAAGTACTCTCAAACACACCAGGCATGTGTCTGTATGCCTTGTTTCTTAGTGCAAGCATGTTTTTAAGTCACAAATGCCAGCCAGCCAATAGCAGTACCAGAAAGTTTACATCTACAAGGAATAGCAGTAACAGGTTCTGTTTATGTAAGAGACTCTTCAAAACATACTGGCAAGTTAGGCACTTTTTTCCCAACAGGAGAATCTTGGAGAGAGGCAAACTACTTGGATTATTTAATTTTGTATATCATAATATAGTTGAGATCAGTAGATTTAGATAAGTAATTTTAGAATGCTTTAGAATGCTAAATAATGGTAGAGAAACATCCTCTACTTTGAGCCTAATTTTTCTCCCTTTTTGTTTTTCATTGCACATGTCTGTAGTGTGAGCCTTGTTTTGACACACATTTATTTTATTCTCTGGCAGATCATGTGTCTGTATCATTATTATGCCCATGCCCAATGATAAAAGCTGCCATCTCTGACACACACCAGGTGCCAAGTACTTAATCCTCTAGGTGGAGGTAGACCCTGATAGCTTGTTTATAAATGCAGAGGCTGTGTCTTAGCCCGGGGTCCACTACTTTCTATTGAAGTGCTATATCAGTCATTTACTTATGGAATTAGCTCGTAGTAAATGAAATTTGGCAGTATTTATTTCCATGAACAAGATAGGATGCCCTTACCATCAAACTGGTCTTATGGGTAGTTGGAAATTGATGTATTTTAAAAAATAAAATGTTAGAGAAAATATTAATAAAATATTAGTCAATATTTGTGTTAATTCTATTAGCTCCTCTCTTGCTGAATTGTTAAGGAGTCCCTTCTTTGTGGTGGGCGATGCTCTTAGTGCATTCTGCTTGTTATTTAATGCTATACCTCAGGGATCTGCAAACTGTGGCCCGTGGGACAAATCTGTCCTGCAGCCTGTCTTTGCAGATAAAGTTTCAGTGGAACATACCCATGCTTATTAGTTTACAGATGGTTTGCAAAGCCTAAAATATTTATAATCTGGTTTTCTGTAGAAAAAGAGTACCAACCCTTGCTTTATCTTAAACAAAAGATTGGAAGCAGTCAAATTTACTATTAATCCTAAAGGTATAGGAAACTTTCTTTTAAAATTTCTACATAATTTTTGTCCTTTATGGGAAAAGATTGGGAGAAATAAATTTGAGGTGATTCAAGCTTAATTTTTTTTTTCCTCAAGTGCATACCATGTTTGAGAATTTGTTCACTGGTGTACCTAAGGCCTGAGAGTTACCTGTAACACTGCTCAGATGAGTGTGTTTTAGAGTCCTCTTTGCCTGTGGTAAACATGGTTTCTGTCCCATTAAAAGGATAACAAAGAGGATACAAGGAAGATTTCATTTACAGAGAAATAAAATGTGGTTGTATGTGAGGTTTTGTTTACTTTCCCCGCTCAGGAGGAGCCAGCCCTCATCATGTTTCCAATTAGGTGGTTATCTGATCCCTTCAAAGTCCCAGCCCTTCCCTCTGCTGAAGCAAGGATATGCTGGTCCCCTTGACACACTCAGGTTTCACAAGCCTTGGGAGCTTGTGTCTACCCTTTACTTTAGTGTTCATAATTGAGAGTGAGACCATTTTCCCATATCACACACATAAATATAATGAAGATGTTAAAGTAACTTTGGTAGAGTTAGTAAAAGAGTACCCTGAGACTTAATTATGCATTAAGTTGTGTTTTTTTCCCTCTGATACAGCTTCCAAAAGAGATTTTGGTTTGGAAAATATTTTTCTTTTGTGTTTCATTTTCCTGGTTGCTGACTGTACTAGAAAACAGAAATGAAGGGATAACTCGTTTGTGTTACTTGGCAGGAAGTACCACTATGGTGTGGCGTTTTTCTTGCACACTAGCAATCAGTTCAGTAGTATATTTAATCTTCCACCAGATCTTAACTTATTAACAGTTTATAATCCTATCTGATATTTAAATAGTAAATTAAGCTGAACTAAAAATATTTTATACGTATCTGAAATTTAGTTTGAAAAATGGGAATTAATATTATCATAGATTGCCTATTAACAATACACCTAGTGTTATCATATGTGTGTGTGTTTGTGTGTATAAACTAACCTAAATCTAACAAAGTTTAATTAATGTAAATACTCCAGAAATGACAAGGAATTTATCTATTTGTTCTTGACAAAAGTTCTCTAGGAAATACTTAACCTTTTCTTGGAGGGAAGTTAGTACTCTATTAAAATGTATACTATACATATACATGCAACAAAGATGAATAGAAAAATGAAATTTTGGGGCTGGCAGGTGGCACAGTGGTTCAAGGCGCTGGATTCCCACTTGGCCGACCATGGTTTGAGTCCTGCACCTGGCGGCTTGCTTTCTCACTTTCCCTTTTTCTTTCTCTCTCTGGTAAAATTGAAAAAAATAATAACAAATGGAATTAAGTAAATTCTTTTTTAAAAAAGAAAAATGGAGTTTCTAAAATGTAAAACTTAGGACAGATCATCAAAATGATACATGAGCTGTTGAATTTCTTATCAGTACAAACTGAGAAAGTCTTTCCTACTTCGGTTTGTGTTATTAGTGAGATATTTCAAAAAGTCTTTCAAAATTCAAGTGCTTACATCCAAAACCAGAAAAAGATTCTGTTCATCTGCAACAGCGTAATACTTTTCACAAGCGTCTGATCTTATTCCTAAATCTTGAGTACATGAGTGGTGGTAAGGAGCATCCTAGTGTGATAGAGAGACTATGAATGCTGTATGGCATTTTGTTTTTGTTTTAAGCAGATCCATCAGACTTTGAGATTGCTCGCTGCAGAGTAGGTAATAACTTCTTTTTTGTAGAGTTTTGTAATGGATTAAGTAAAGAGTGTTCAAGTACCAGATAACAGTGCTTGGCATGTAGCTACATTTAACTCGTCACATGCTGTATCATCACCACGATTATTTAAAATAGTCCCAGAAGACGTGTGCTGTGAGCAGTTACGCTCATTTCGCTTACTGTTTTCTGTACTAACGGCTTCCCTCCTCTTAAAGTAATTGATAGGGTATACATTTGAGTGTGTGTGTTTTAGTGATAATACTGTGACATTATTAAAACTAGAGAAATGAAAATAAACTTTTGGGGGCTGTTTTGATGCAGACAGCTTTACTAAACCGCCTGGAGCGAATTTTCGAAGCATGTTTTCCTTCCATATTTGTTCCTGATGCTGAAGAGGAAGTTGTTTTCCTGAAGCACTTGCTAGAAACAAGCACCTTGCCAATAAAAACAAGAGAGGCCTTAGCTGAGAGTGGGTAAGTAGTTAAGACAGTTTTGAGATAGCGTGTGTTTTTGCTAGTTTCAACTGTAAATATTGTGTTAAAGTTTAATCATGCTGTGCTATAAGACTTACATGAAAAAAAACTCTGCCTCTCCACTTTTTGACTTATTTTGAGTTTTCTATGTCAGTATTCTAATCAGTCAATATTATATATTTTTTTAAATTTTCATTCCTGACATGATAAATCAAAATTTAGATCTTACTGTTATTCTCCCATCATCTTCCCATTGTGCTTGTGTTTTACTGTTTTTGGTTGTTATTTCGTGTTATTATAATCATTGTAAATATTGTTTGCTGTGTTCTCTTTATAATACAACTTTTTATGGACTTAATAATCACCTCTCTTTTTCACTTACCAAGTCCTAAGTCTTACCGTACCCTCCAACACATTCTGTTCTAACTGGAATGGTTTCTTTCTTTCTTTTTTTTAGGGAGAGATTTTTGCTTTAGGGTGTGTGCTCTCTAGAGAGAGACAGAAAGCAAGAAATCACACCCATGGTTGGCCATGCCACAATCCATTTTTCTGCATTCTCCTCTCAGGATTTTGGGCACTTGGGGCACATACACACATGCACACCCCCTTGCCCAGTGTGAGTTTAAGCCACTGGGTCCAGAATTCGAACCATGGTCAACTACATGGGAGTCCAGTGATGTAACCATTATGCCATCTGCTGGTCCCAGAATGGTTTCTTCAGTCCAGGCCTTTTACACACGTGTTACCTCAGGACTGCCCTTCACTTTTATTCTATATTCTAGTAGAGTATATCCTCTAATAACTTTCTGAGAAAAAAGATACATGGTAAATAAAATTTTACTGTCTTCTACTCTCACATTAAATTTATAGTTTAAGATCTTTTCTTTGTTGCTGATGTTCTGATATTTCACAATAAAATATGTTGGTGTAAATCTTTTTACAGTCATTGGACTGACATTAAATAGGACCATTCAGGGACCAGATGGCATAATGGTTGCATCGCTGGACTCCCATGTAGCCTACCAACGGTTCAAGTCCCAGACCTGATGGCTTAAAACTCATGCCTGGCATGTGTGTATGTGTGCCCAAAGTCCCAAGAAGAGAATGGAGGAAAAGAGATTGCAGTGTGGCCATCCCCCTGGTGGGGTGATTTCTCACTTTCTGACTCTCTGTCTCTCTGATGAGCACATGCATCCTGTAGCAAAATCTCTCTTAAAAATAAACAGATAGATAGATAGGACCATTCAATCTGAAGGTTTCTATTCTGTACTGGGCATGTCTCATGTATTATTACCTTGATAGTGACCTCTTCCTTGTCTCTGTTTTTTCGTTCTGAGAATCCTATTAATTAATAATTATTGGATGTTAGAGGGTCTAGACTGAGTTTCTAATTTTAATTTTATAACTATCATCACTCTTTCTCAGCTGTTCTTTCCCATTTTGTCATTCTGCCTCTAAAAGCATTCTCTTTCTTCCATTTTGCTAAGTGTATTACTATTACATTATTCCTCTTTGTAACCTCAATATCTGTGGTATATGGTTTTAAGTAAAACTTAATTTCCTTGAAGATGGAGATTGTGTTTTTACATCTCAATTTTTGTTTTAGGGTGCTTTCTAAGAAGAAAAGGAACAAAAATGTTTATATTCTACCATTTTAAAGTTTTAGATATGTTTTCATTTTAATGTACTAATTATACAGGTAGTTTATACTTCTAGAGGTAGTTCATTAATCTCTCCAAGAGATTAATTCTAAGGAAATAATACAACCATGCAATAACTTATACCATAAAATACAGAAAGGTTCTAATTTTTACTGTTTGGCACCTACTAATAATAAGAACCAAATAGGAAAAACAATTTATTTGGAACTGTAGGACTGTGGTTAAATAAATGCTGGTGCATCAGCCTATTAATGGATTATTACCTAACCATTGAAAAAGATACACATGAACACTAGGAAATGCTCAAAGTATGAACAAAGAATACAAAATTATATATATGCCATAATTGCAATAGTGTGTTTGTGAATCAAAACTTGAGGGGGAAAAAACACAAATATTGAACAGTCATCTTAAAATGGTAAGATGGAGGTTGATTTATTTCTTCCTTTTAATTTTTTTCTGTGTTTTATAATAAAGAATAACACACCATCTAAATTTTTGCTTGATTACTGGCGTATTGATACATATGAGTTTAATTTAATTACATTCCTAATAACTGTAAGTAAGTATTGGCTCTTGATTGCATTTAGATAATAGTTGTACACTTATGGTAGCCTCAAGATTAATTAGAAGGTGTTATGTGTCGTGGTCATGTTAACCATAGAATTTCATGGTGAAAGCTGTTGAGTAACCTATTCGTGGCTTCATCATGACCTTTACAGGGAACTGCTGGATGTGTGGACCGAGCTACAGGATATCCATGATGCACATGGCTTGAGATATCAGTGGGGTGGTTCCCATAGCAACAAGAAGCTTTTGTGCTCTTTGGGAATAGACACCCGAAACATTGTGAGTTGAATACCTTGAAATACATATTTTTAATTTTTTTGTTTGTTTTCATTTGCTGTAGGGCGTATGCACACTCCAGAAAGAACGAGACTGAAACTGAGTGTGTACACCCTGTGGGGGCCATGGCCACACCACAGTCCCTTCTACTCCATTCTCCACTTGAGATTTTGGTCATGGAAGCACACACACCTGGTGCATTTTCCAAGCTACCAAGTCTGGAACTTGAACCATGCAGTCAGCCATGTGGGATCCTTAAGTACCACACCACTGGCTGACCCAAAACCTTTTTTTTTTTTAAAAAAAAAAAAAGAACTAGTTTCTATTTAACTTTATTTATTTATGTCAGTTTGACCAGAGAGTGACAGGGCAAGAGAGAGGAAAAGTGAGAAAGCAAACTTTCAGGTCTGAGACTTGAACCATAGTCAACCCTATGCAAGTCCAGTGCCCCTAACCACCATGCCACCTGTCGGCCCCAACCCAAAACCTTTTAATGGGTGTTTTTAAACGCGCTTACTTTTCTGTTCCTGTGATAAGCTAGTTCCTCAGAAAAATAAATATTAATTAGTTTAAATGTTCATTTATCTTGAGTAAGCCAATTTTTAAACTTCAATCTTAAATTTTTCTTTGTCTTATTTTAGAAAAAAAATGTTGTTTCCTGAACTATAAAATGAAATAATTAGACTGGGAGATTTTGACCAGGAAAAAAAAAACAAAACCAGCTGAGCAATTTAATGATTTTTCTCAATTTGTCATTCTTAATGTATGTAATAAAACACAGCAAGCAAACATATTCTGGAGGCTTTTCATTGTATGTTATATCATTCTCTAAATATATGTTCTTTCTCTCTAACTTATGTGCGTAGCTCTTCACCGGCAATAAGAAGCAGCCTGTCATAGTACCCATGTATGCAGCAGGACTGGTAAGTACAAAAATGTCTCTCTGTGTATTTATCATTACTGCATTATTCTGCGAAGCTCTCTTATGTAGCATGACGTAAAAGTATATTTTAAGAGGCACTTAGTGTTGGAATTTTAAGGGTATAAATGTAGTATTATAGTATCCATTTTAATCTCATAAATCCTTTAAGTCTACATCTTAGGGCATTTTTTTTCTACATTCACTAATTACAGATACTGCTTTGTTTTAGATAATTCAAAATTTTTTTTATCTTAGTGATGATAGTGTTGTAACGCTTTGGAAAACTCACCTTTGGAGGATTCTTTTTTATTTTTTCCTTTTCTAAACTATGAAAAAAGAGTAAGCTGTAGTATATAAAAGATTAAAGATACACTTTGTTTTAATTCAATTATTAATTTTAAGTAATGGAGTATTGTGTCAGCAAGTGGTGTGGAGGTTAAGGTAGCTAGATCCCATATGGCCAACTGCACAGTTTGAGCCCTGGAAAAACATTCTGGGTGCATGTCCATGCATGCCCAAAATCTCAAAAGGGGAGTGAAGGAGAAGGAATTGCAGCATGGTTATCCTCCCTAAGGAGTGATTCTCACTTTCCCTCTCTGTCTCTGGCAAGTACTTATATCCTACAGCAAACTAATACATAAATAAATACAAAATATTGATGCAACATTGAGGTTATGGGTATATATATAAAAACTTGGAAATACTAAATTACAATTAATTGAAAATGAGCCAGGATTTTTTTTTTTTTTTCCTTTTTGGAGGGGGCCACGGGTACATGTACTCACCAGAGAGAAATAAAATGAGAACTCACACCCCAGGGAAGATGGCTAAGCTACAATCCTCCATTCTCCTCTCAAGATTTTGGGCACAAACACACACAAACATGTACGTGCCTGGCGTGTTTTATCAGGCCACCATTTCAGGACTCCGACCATGTGCGATCCAGTGCCTTAACCACCACACCACCTGCTGGCCCTCTATTAGTATTTTAAATGTGTTGAATTTTGTTTTTTGTTGTTTTTTTTTTTTTTCAGATACACCAGGTAGTCCCAGAAAACTGAGGCATTTTCATTCTGTTCTTTATTGAGATTCAGTCACATTTTAAAGTTTGATGTTTGTGTTTTTTGGTGTGTTTTCAAGTTATTGGTGAATAAAACGGCCTATTAAATGAAAAATATTATGTTATAACCAATAACTTGAAAGTAAGGAAAAAGTATGTTTAAGACTGAAAGGGAAAAAATAAAGAATTCTTAGTATAGAATATACATTATACAACCCCATTATGTGCATGTAAAAGTGAATTTGCCGTGAAACTTGACCTTTTTTAATATACAAACTTTTTCCATGAGTAAGCACTTATTTTTGGTACTGAATTGGAATTGGAATGTTTGATTTGTTTTGGCAGTTTTGTTTTGTGGTATTTTCTGTGCTTGAGTTTTTCTTTTCTTTTTTAAATATGTTTCTGCGCTGTAATAAATGGTTAACTTACGCTTTAAAAACACCACGATGATCCCTATGCTCTTTTCTTTCAGTAAATACAATCCAGAACTTTTAACTTTTTGGTTATTTGCATTTCTTTATTTTCTCCCCTCAGGGAGTAGCACCACAGAGGTGGTCGGTGCTATTGCTGTCGTGCGCTGAGTAGGAACTCGGAATTTAATTTGTAGGCGTCTTCATTCAGCGTGTTGTGGGCAGTGTCCACTAAATGCTTAATTATGTGTAGCCTCAGCACATTAGCCAGTTCTTTGATGTTTGTGAGGAGTTAGATGCTAAAACTAATGTGTTATTTTTCTACCTTATTTACAGTCTTTATTTGTAATAATTTTATCATTTTTATAAGCTTTAATACCAAACTTTATGTAGTAGATACAAGCGTGTCTCCCTTCCTTCTTGAGTATAACAAAAATTATATGCTTATTTCATTATTTTCTTTCTTTTTTCTTTGTTAAGGTTTTTGTCATAGGATACATGCACATGCTGGAGAGACAAAAGAGAGGGAAAGTGAAAAATCACACACACACCCCCTGGGGGGGCTGGGGATAGCCACATCGCAATCTCTTCTCCTCCTCCATTCTCTTCTTGGAATTTTAAGCACACATGCACTTGGGCCTAGCATGATTTTCAAGCTGCCAGGTCTGGGACTTCAACCATTGTTGGCCATGAGGGACTCCAACACCTTAATCACCACACCACCTGCTGGCCATAGAAACTGATATTTTTACTATCATAGTTTATACCCAAATTTTGCACATGGGCTTTACACATATGAGATGTTCAGTAATCTTTGATCTTACCTGGAAAATCAGTACCGGAAGCGATCATTGAAGTCACTGGTTCTCAGACTTGAATGTGCATCAGAAATCACTTAGAAGACTTGTTAAGAGTAGGGTGGAGCGCTAAGATTTCTACATCTTACAAGTAAATTTCAAAGTGACATGATGTTGCTAATTGGGGATCACAATTTAAAAACCACTGCTTTTAGTGACAGTTCGAATTAGAAAACTCAGTTGAGACCGTTAGCCAGACATTTTGTCTCCTCGCATAGCGACACACGGAGAATTTGTACAAATGCACGTGGTTTGAATTGGATCCTGAACTTATCTTCATTTGTGTGTTGTTGTTAAGAATTGAATTGTAAATTGCTTTAGTCGCTATGTCCTATTAGGTTTGGGGTGGGGGGGGGTTCTTTGCAAACTCATTTTTAGAAATTCACAGATTCCAAATCACTAATTCAGCAGTTTTGAGATTTTTCCTCCCAGTTAAGGCTGACTGTTGTCTGGAATATAATCTTTCACTGACAAATAGTCACAAGCTTATTAAGTATTACTTCAAATATATAAAAGCTCAGCTTTTTTTCAGTCCATTAGCCTGGCTTACTACCCATTCTGTGTTTGGTGAGTGTTGATGGAAAATGCTGGGACATTTTTCCCTTCTTTGTTTCTGTACCCATCCTGAATGTCTTTCTTATTCAGAAAGTGTGTTAAATTTGTAACAAACCCAGTGAACATATAAGATGTTTTCCCCTCTGCAGTGGCTGTGTTTGCTTTGCCAGTCCAGAGAACTAAGTACTGAGGCTCAGTACCTTCATGGAGGTCAAGATCAAACACTAAATTTACACTGAAGGGTACACACACCGAGGTCTTGCATCGCATGTTTGAGAGTCAGCTCTCTATTTTCCAGCCACCACCATGGTGCAGTGTGATGAATGGTGCTCTTGAAATTTCAAGGTCGAAAATATCATAAAACTTGTATTTTTAGAGCCTGGATGTGATGAACGGTTGTATTCATCCCCCACCATATCCCAAACTGTGCTTATGTGTTCATGTGAAAATGTTAACAATGCACTTTCAAACCTCTAATTTAAAATACAAGGTTTTACTCCAAAAACTTTTGATTCTAAAGATATTATTGTGAAACAGTTCCCATTGTAGTGCTATAAGACTGTAAACAAAATTTAAGAATAGTTCTATTTTGCCTGTAGTGCTTTCTAAATGACCTGTTTTTTTCTTTTTCTTGCTAGGTTAACTCTCTTAAAAGTTTATATTGATAGATTGATCGTCCCCTCCCAATTAATGACCAATATACTTTTCACAGGGTATGTTAGAGCCCACCAAGGAACCATTAAAACCATTATCTGCTGCAGAAAAAATCGCTTCCATTGGTCAGACAGCCACCACGTCATCGGAGATGAACACGTGTGCATCTGATCAGTTGCAGGTAAAAGCATCGTGTGCTGTGACTGCAGGCATTTACACCCACACGTACAGTTTCTGTCTGTGATATATAACTTCGGTTTGAAACTATTTTAAAAACTTGATTTGGTGATGGACATGATTTTGATTGTTAATTAACATCTTCCTTGGAATATAACAAACAGATTATCTTTATTTTTCAAAAACAAAGGCCCAATTTGAGAACTGGATGGTTATAGGTAAGTTCTAAAAACTTCCTAGGTTTTCGCCTCTTGACCTCTAAAATAAGGTATGACACAGGTATCTCTGAAGTCCCTGCAGTTTGAACATTGTTCCCTTGCAGTTGGATCATAATTATTGACACAAATCTGGTGAAAACAGATTATCAAAAAAAGTAGTGAGCGATGTATATATAACCACTCTCTAACTCCGCTATTGAGTATTTTCCTGAAATCTTGTGAAATTTTGTAAAGCAATTAAAATTTAGGTGTCTATGTTGCCTCAAACTATTGTTTTGACAATGTGGGTAAAACTGTTAGCTGAGGGACCAGCAGTTAGCATAATGGCTATGTCACTGGACTCCCATGTAGTCGACTGTGGTTCATGTCTCGGACCCGGTGGCTTAAAACTCACGCAGGGCACGTGTGCGTTCGTGCCCAAGATTCCAAGAGGAGAATGGAGGAGAAGGGATTGCGGCGTGGCCATCCCCCCTGGGGGGTGGTTTCTCGCTTTCTGTCTCTCTGTCTCTCTCTGTCTGTCTGGCGAGCACACGCGCCCTATAGCAAAAACCTCTAAAAAAAACCCCAAAAAACTCTTAGCTGAAAATGATGTGACCTGGGACCAGCAGATGGCATAATGGTTACATCGTTAGACTCCCACATAGTCACCTGCAGTTCAAGTCCCAAGACCTGGTGGCTTGATACCCATCCCAGGCACATGTATGTGCATGCCCAAGATCCCAAGACGAGAATGGGAGAGAAGGAACTGTAGCATGGCCGTCTCCGCTAGGGGGCGATTTCTCATTTTTTTGTCTTTCTGTCTCTCCAGTGAACACATGTATCAATAGCAAAAATCTTCCTCAAACAAAAAAGGAAGAAAGAAAGTGATGTGACCTTTAACAAAGTATTCTACAGATTACTAATAAAAACTGTCTCATCATTTACTTCTTTGGCATACTTAAGCACAAATTTTCTTTGTAATATGCTTAATATTAAAGACTTGTTTTCCACTTTATAGGGGAAAATAGGCTGTTCTGGTTACTCTTCCCAGATGACATTAGAAACTGGCTTAGTGTCTGTTAAACATCCCAAATTGTGCTTGTGCTTTCACATGAAAATGTTAACTGTGCATTTTCAAACATCTAATTTAAAATATAAGGTCTTCAAAAACTTTTGATTCTAAAGATACTATTGTGAAACAGTTCCCGTTATAGTGCTATCAGAAGATTACTATTATGTTAACATCACCTTTTTATTTTGAGAGAGAGATCTTTGCTAATAGAGCATGTGCACTTGCCAGAGAGACAGAAAGAGAGTGAGAAATCATCTCGGGGGGTGATGCATGCCATAGTCCCTTCTCCTGCATTCTCCTCTCGGGATTTTGGGCACACACGTAATCATGCTCAGTGTGAGTTTCAAGCCTCCAGGTCTGGGACTCGCACCATGGTCAGCCCTGAGGGAGTCCAGCACCTTATCCACTATGCCACCTGCTGGTCCCTACATCACCATTTTTTTTTAAAGAATTATTTTATTTAACTTTATTTGTTTATTTATTTATTTCTTATTAATTTGACCAGAGAGGAACAGGGTAAGAGCGAGAGAGAGAGAGAGAAAGCGAGAAAACAAGCCACCAGGTCTGGGACTCTAACTGTGGTCGGCCATGCGGGAGTCCAGCACCCTTAACCACCATGTCACTTGCCGGCCCCCATCACCATTTTTTAAAAGAGGTTTTTGCCTTAAGGTACATGTGCTCACAAGAGAGAGAGAAAGAGAGACAGAGAAAGTGAAAGAGAAATCACACCCAGGGAGGATGGCCACACCATAGTCCCTTCTCCATTCTTCTCCCCAGATCTTAGGCACACACACACATTCACACGCACATAGAAAACATCACCATTTTAAAAACATGTTCTTGCCATGTTTGCCATTTGTTCTCCTTAACTATGATTTTCAGTAGTATCTAACACAAAAAGAGTATGACAGTCTGTCTTTCCAAAAATGTGTGTTCTACTAAGGAAGGGTTCCAGAGTATCGTAAGTTGGGGAAATACTTTATATCATACCCCCATAACCACCCTCGAAGATTTACAACACATATTAAGGACACGGAAGAGTCCTGCAGTAAGTAACCCTATTTAATTTGTATTCATTGCTCAAATTTACTTAACTGCAAGACCCTTTTCTTTTCTTTTCTTCTTTTTTTTCGGAGAGGTTTTTGCTATAGGGTGGGTGCACTCACCAGAAAGAGAGAGACAGAGAGATAGAAAGTGAGAAATCACCCCCCAGGGGGGATGGCCACACCGCAATCCCTTCTCCTCCATTCTCTTCTTGGGATCTTGGGCAAGCACACATATGCGCCCAGCGTGACTTTAAGCCACCGAGTCCAGGACTTGAACCGTGGTCGGCTACTTGGGAGTCCAGAGACATAGCCATTACGTTAACCACTGGTCCCTGCAGGACCCTTTTCTATAGGGAACAGGGGAGAGGAGAGTCAAAACATACTTCAGAAAACAGTGTATGAAGCATAAGTCTTACCCTTTCAGGTGTGTTTCAGAAAACACCTAATACTACTGCCATGTACCACTGGGCTTTGTACGTGGGCATAGTTTAAACATCACTTCGAAGCCAGCCTGTTCCTGGCACTGAATTAGTGGGCATGGGAGCTGGTACACTGAGCGCCTAGCCTTCCTGACGATTAGGCAGCTCTGGCAAATTCTCAGTAGGTGGAACCTGTCCTTTTGTTGCTCCGATTTTGCCCTCTTAGTATCAGCTGCTCTCCTGAGCCTGTCCTAACTGCATAGACTCCAGAACTTGCTCTCCCATAGCACACTTCCAGTGTTGTCTCAGGCAACAGGCTCGTTCTTGCAGTGTTAGGTCATTAGGAAAATATTCTGAGTAGCTCTGTGACAGATTCATTCTTCTTGAGACCATTGTTGCTAGTGTTACTCTCTTCTTTCCTCTTCCTCCCCCATCCTACCACTCCCACATGTTACAGTCCCATTAACTATGCTTATTTTATCAGAGGAGCTGTTACCGGCTGTTTTTGCCCCTAGTGGACTCAGTCTTATTATGTATCTCAGTGGCTCCTCATAGCTTTTCTTTCTGATACAATTTGACTATAGACTTGACTGAAAGTGGAGTATGACAGATACCTAAAAAAAATATGTGTGCTAATTTAGCATTCTGTACTGAGATGCCTGCCTCCCTCAAAGAGTCGCACGATCCTGGCTCGGCTCCATACCTCTGATGCAGGCGCAGATATTTAACAGACATCTGAAATGCACTGTTAATATTCCCTTTGTATAAAGTGGTATTTCTTACCATTTTTCTCTGGCATTCCATATGTATATTATTTTTACTTTATGTTTGGCCATGCAGTTATACTACTAGATCTTCCCACCAGTCATATTTTTTCACATGATGTAGCCATAGTCCATAGTGCTAGAAACTTAGTGAAATGTGTTAGGAAAGATCTATCCAAATACCTCATTTTCCCCCCTCCAAAAAAATACCAAGCCTTCCTTTTATAAAGCTTTTGGCATCATTAAACAGTGGCTTCAAAACTTAGCACAGTAGTTTAATTATAATGATCGCAAACTTTTGGATCTATCTGTTTTATCCTAATTTTGGTACTCATTGCAATTTGGTTTTGTTTTCTTCCAAATTGCCTTGGGCAGCCAGTGACATAATGGTTAAAGTGGATGGATCCCACATAGCCAAGTGTGTAATCCAAGTCCTGGACCAGGCAACATGAAAAACACTGCAGGCACATGAGCGTGTGCACCCAGAATCCCAAGAGAATGGAGAAGGGATTATGGTGTGGCCCTCTCTGGGTAGTCCGCATGTGTGTGCATGCGCTCACTCGCTCGCTTTCTGTCTCTCTCGTGAGTGCACATGCCCTATAGCCAACTGTGGTGGGGGGAAGCACTTTAACCTTAAAAGATGGCTTAAGGATACAAAATAGTAGTGATTCCTTTAGTTTTTGTTTTGTTTTGTCTTGTTTTTTGTTTTGTTTTTGTTTTTGTTTTTGTGTCTTGCCAGAGGGCATGTGTGCTTACGAGAGGGGGAGAGAGAGGGAGAAAGTACCCCAGCCGTAAGCCTGGTCACACAGCAGTCCCTTTCCATTTTTCTGTCCTGCCGGGATTTGGAGGGTACACACACACACACATGTATTTTTGCTTGTTTTAGAATTACTTACTTATTGGGGACCAGCAGGTGGCGTGGTGGTTAAGACACTGGACAAACCCACATGGCCGACCACGGTTTGAGTCCCAGACCTGGTGGCTTGCTTTCTCACTTTCTCTCTGTCTCTCTCTAGTTAAATTGAAATTAATGAATGAATAAAATTAAATAATTAAAAAAAGAATTACTTACTTATTTAATTCCATTTGTATTTACTTTTTTTTTTTTTTTATTTGACCAGAGAGAGACAGAAAGAGAAAGCAAGCCACCAAGTCCAGGACTTGAACCACAGTCAGCCATGTGGGAATCCAGAACCTTCAACAATCATGCCAACTGCTGGACCCATCTTTGCTTGTTTGTTTTTTAAGAGAGATTTTTGCTATATGGTACATGAGCTTGCCAGAGTGACAGAGACAGACAGACAGTGAGAAATCACTCCCCAGAGGGATGGCCATGCCACAATCCCTTTTCCTCCGTTCTTCTCTTGGCATCTTGGGCACATATACAAATGTGCCCAGTATGAGTTTTAAGCCACTGCATCTGGGACTCAAACACATGGTCGATTATGTGGGAGTCCAGTGACGTAACCATTACATTGGCTAACCCCTGCACATGTGTTTTTTAAGCTGCTGGGACCAGGACACAAATTGCACTGTCAGCCATGTAGAATCGGGCTTCCTTAACCACCAGGGTATGAAGCTAGGCCACCTTTTGTTTTTCTACTGAATTTCAGGATCACACCTTTCATGGTAACATTACTGATTCCCCTTATAGTAAGATCATTCACTGCTGAGTAGAGTCAGCTCTGACCAGCAGTTATTCCAACTAGTTGCCACTAGCAACTTCCTCTCTTAGGTTACTTGGTATGACTACTTTAGGTGTGAATCAGAATTTTAAAACTTTTAGTTCATCAGGAGAGTCATAATGTATTTTTCTATACAAAAATGCCTCATGACTTTCCTAATGACCCAATAGAACTCAGAAAAAGGGAAACAAAACCAAAAAAAAAAAAAAAACTTATTGGTGTTTCCCCAAACAATAAGAAAACCTATTGGGAAAGAGAAAGAAATTCACGCAGTGGAAGGAAAGAGTAAGAAATTCACGCAGTGGAACAACTAGAACTCAAGTCCAAGTCTCCAGTCACCATGTTTTTGTTCTCTTTATTACCTTGTTTCCTTAGTACTTGTGGCTAGGCTATCATCATTCATACTATATATACTGCTTCAAGTTGTTTTAAACTCCATCCTCTTACTGCTTCCTCTTTGAGTTGCTTACTGTGAATGTCATTAGTTACCCTTTGTATGCTTGGGTATCCTTTTTCATCCTTATTTCCATAATTGTTGAGTCGTATTCAGTACCTCATCATAATTTTGGCCATGTCTTCAAAATGCCATACACCTGTAAAATTTGAGCAAAGCATTACTTTCAAGCATAGATTTACTTGACATCATTTAAATACAAAATGTTAATAAAAGAATGTGCCCCATTTATCCAGAAATTGTGTTTTACTTTTATTTGAAATAACTGTAGATTCACAGGAAGTTGTAAAAATCTTTTCGTGATTTCATTTTTCATAATAACAGTACAGTATGTCTATATCGTTCTGTAATATCATTTTAGCAATGGATACATTCCCATAACCCCTACCACTCTCATCAGCACAAAGAACTCCCTTCACAGTCATACTCTACCCTCCTTCCAAGTCTTTTCCCCTGGCACCCACTAATGTTACCATTTTACTTGGTTTCAACCTCCCTCCTCAACCTCATTTTTGAAGACTAACTAATTAATTTACCAATCATTGATATTTCATTTATCAAGACTGTTATAATTATTATGGGATTAGCTTTCAAAAATAACCGATTCGTGAGCCTTTCCTACAGGAAACAGTGTTCAGTATGAAGTTTTAATAGTGCCTATGTTTGAGTAAAGCACCCTAGTAAGCAATACCCATCCCCTTAAAAAACAGCGACATGTTAGTATTAAGTCTAATGAAGCACAGGCTATTTCAGTAAATGTCAATGCCACTCCCAAAACAGAAAAAGAAAAATTTAAAAATAAAACTCTTTCTCATAAGAATATTCTTACAAGTAAATCGATGCACATTTTAAAATGTGTTTGAACTGTCTTCCATGTTACATTTACCTTTTGTTTTTATGTTTGGCAGTTATGACATTTTAAAATCTGGAATAGTTAGATCAGTTCTAAGTAATTTTTTAGTGTATTATTTTAAAATTTAAATTCTGATGTCTGATTATAAATAATTTCTAAGAGAAGTTAAGATAAATATTTGAAATCAATACTTAGAAAAATGTAGGTCCCATATATTGGCTCATGATTTCCTTTTAAATTTGAAAGATTATAAAGAACCAGAGACCTTGGACTTTGAAATTTCTTATTTTATGTCTAAGAAGGCCAACTAAATTACCTGAACTATACAAGGTCATACTTAGAGTTCCCTTGTCTTGAATGATCTATGTCTCCTCACTTTCACTATGGTACCTTCTCTTGTATTGCATTATGTGATCTGTTAAATTTTAAGTGGCTTGTCATTTATTATAAATGTAATTTATTTATATAAATAAATTTGTTATTTATTCATTCATTTAAAAACTACAGTGACTTTTTTCAGTATTTTAATATTTTATTGTAATGAAGTCAATAGTTTAAATCATGATTTAAGAATGGATTGAAATCTGGACATACAGTCAACCCAAACATGTGTTTGAAAATGTAAAGATAATTCCATTCCTCAAGTACATCCTTAATGTCAGTAAACTGTACCAATTTAAAATTATACTATTTCAGTTCATGTTAATATCTATAGGTATTCTTCTGAAATTGTAAATTATCCCAATTTTATCTGAAAGTATTTTGTCATTCAGTGGTTTTGCTATAAATGTTTTTTGTTTTTCGAGGGGGGTGTTCTTGGTTTTAAAGGATTCTTTATGTTGTTACAACCTGTACTGATTAATTTTGATTTTTTGGTTTTCAACTCTAGGAGTCTCTACCACCCGTCCAGTTTGACTGGAGTAGCAGTGGCCTTACTAACCCTTTAGATGGTACGTCTCTCCGTAGAGCCTCTAGCACCAGAGCTAGAGTTAAGAAAGCTACAAAGTTCAGACAGACTTCTCTCTGCTGATTTCCTTTTTCGTTTAAACATAACTTCTTATTCTTATCTTTGGAAATTCAGGCTTTCTTTCTAAATAGTAATTACTCAAGAAACCAGCCGTTAACTATTACCGATAGTGTTAATGTCCAAATATAGACCATAGTAGCTAGGTAAAAGTCTTAATTTCTTTATCTTAAGTCGAAACAAGCTTTCTCTTCTTTTTTTTTTTAATTTTTAAGCAAATATCTAGGTAATTTAAATAGTGTTTTAGCTAGGAGCAATTTACTTGAAATTTTTTTCTGTAGTTTTAATTTATGGAATTTTCTTGGATGCAAAGTGTTGTGGGTAGAGGCTGCTTCAAAGCACAAAGCACAATATTTAACCAAAAACAATGTGCAGATAGATCTGTATTTATTGACTCAAAGTAGTTTTCAGATTTAATAATATTTTATAGAGCACTTATATGCAAATGGAAAATGAATGATTTTCATGATCCTTTTCTAAAACTTATCTCCAAATGCTAGTAGGCAGAACCAGAAATAATTGGTTTCACTTATGGCTTTTGAAGAAAATCCTGAAAAAGGAATAACTTATTCCAGCAATGCGGGGTCTTGTAAAATACCTAATATGCAATGTTAGTTTCTAGAATCAACACAAGATTTGGTGGACCCTGAGATATAATTGCTCCTCCTCATTCTGCTTAAGTTGTTTGAACCATTTAAACACCAGTCTTTGTCTCAATGGCAGTAGTCATTGCCATTGTCAAAGCATCCTGTCAGCTTTGCCTTGGGTAAGGGTCTTGGGATGTCTGGACAGCATCCAATTGAGTAACATCGTGCTGAAGGAAAGCCTGGATGCACCTTTTGCTGTTGTCTGGTGTCTTCAGTCAAATCATCATGCTTTTTAATTAACAAACAGCCTCTTTAAAAATGTATACTGTTTTCTGATTACTGTTTCAGAGTTAAAGGGGAACAGTACAGCTTGAGGTTGCACAGCAGGGTAGGGTGGTTATGGCATTCCTTACTATTTCGTTGTCTTATTTTAAACTAAGTTAATGTATTGGCGCGTGTCCTGAAACTGACAACTTTGTCATTTCTCAAAATCATTAATTAGAAGTCAACATTACTAACATGCAAGATTGATTTGAGCATGTACAGTGATTTAATACTGGGTTGAGATTTAAGTATTGTTTCCCTTTAACGGGTACGCTTTCCCCTTGGTCTTTCTGGTATGGCTTCAAGTTTTGACTGAAAGAACTGAACTAACTAAAACTTTACTAAGTGTTACTTTCTTTACATTGTACATGAGAAAATGTACATCGAATTAAATTGTTATTTTAGAAATGTCCTTAGTACTGAAAAACTAATACTGTACACTTTGTTTTAATGTTGATTTTTTAAATGTGTAATGACTACTAATTATAACCTGCATGTTCAAGTGTGTGTCTTACCCCTTTTTACACATAACCCCTCCTCCCTTGGCTTACCTTCTGTGTGGCTGCCTACCAACACGGTCACTGAATTTCAAGCTAGTGGAGGTTCCACTCTTCTGAACCTTGATTTCTTTGGGCCCGTGGATGACAGTAGCTCTAGCAGCAGCACCACAATCCCAGGTCAGCAGAGTGTTAAAACCACAATTCTAGTTCATTGATTACTGAAAGCATGACCACATCACTTGACTTTCCTATAAACAAGGAAACAAGGCGATTGTACTCTCTACAGTGTCGTTCTGATACTTTTCTTTCATCTATCTGTTGTTATTTTCAAGTATCCTACTACAACAAATGACTGGTGTGAAATGCATTTTAAGGGAAGCTTTCTCAGAGTGTAATATTCAAAGCCGAAAATAGTTTGTAGGAATAAAATAGCCCTAATGATGTCCTTAGACAGTTACAGGCAGGATTTTTTTTTTTCTTAGTAGAAAATGTGACATTTTATATGCTTATTTTTAAAAGCATATTCAATAAAGCCATTTGAAAAAATACAGGTTTAGAGAAATATGAATATTTTAGTACTCAAAGATGACTTTACATTGTAGTTCCTGTAATATAATCTTTACAAATTCTAGCATTCAATTAGTTGTTGATTAGTGCTCTAAATATATAATTAGGTTCCAAAATGTTGGAGTCTAGCACTTAGTTTATAGTCCCGCATAGAACTATTACTGTTTTTATGTAGCTCTTAATTAGAAAGTATACTGTTAGTTTTCCATGGAGAAAAAAAAAATGTTACAAAAGTTAATAGTAGAAAATAATTGTTATGAGATACTGAAAGCTAGAAATTAAAACTTACTGGAGTGCCTGTTAAATTAATGTTTAGCCCTGCGAAAGTTCAGTTCATTGACCAAAAGACTAATGTATTTTGTCATTTTCTAACTGAATAAAAGATTTAAATTATAATGGCATTTTTATGTTTACATTTTATTTAATATGATTTTAATGAGTCCCTGTCATCCCAACTTGTGATCTGGTAATCATGCCCATTGGTTGCCAGAGAGCCACGGGGTGCTAAATAGATGCCGACGCTCAGAGTACATGGCAAGCATCTCTGTCCCCACTAGTGGCCATTTTCATAGCCAGCCTGGTTCCTGCACATTTACGGGGTTTATTCTGTTCCACTAGATAACCCTGCTACCCACTTCAACAAGCTAGTAGCGATGATGGGATATGGGGGGAAAACGTGAGAGAATCAGCTAAGGGGGAGCCTGGGACCCAGGATGCCCCTCTCTGAGATCTGGCTATGGAAACCCAGTCCCGACACAGGGAAGTTCCAAGGTCATTTGCTCTGGAATGACTGGATTCCTCAAGTCTAAGCCCCTGGTTATCATTTTCATTATTGTCAAGACTTTCCAAGCATACGAAAAACCAATCTGTGTCTGGTTTTGACTACAAAGTGGCATTTTATTATTTCTTAAATTATTTCTAAGTACACTTGATCTGTGGAGTGACCTAGGTGAGCTAATTAGCTGTCTAACATTCATCGTATTTAGCGGGAGGGGAGGGAACCAAAATTTTGTTCGTCACTTTTTTTATTACTGTGTTCCCAAGAATTATCAAAGTCCCATCTTAAATTTACTCTCAGTTTTGTTTTGTCATGAAACTGTATTATAATTTCAATGAGGTCACTTTCTTTTTTTGGGGGGTGGGGGGTTGATACCTAAAAACCAGCTTTAAATTTAATTTTGGTTACATTTCAAACTCATTTTAAAAAACCATCCATAGGCACACAAATAACCTGGCCATATAAAGAAGTACAGAAATGACCTGAAAATCAGGCTCAGTGTATACAGCCGCAAGAAGAGCGAGCAGTTTCAGAAGCTTAGAGCTCTAACGGAAGTGAAATCAGCATGGTCCAATCAGTCCTTATTACTGTGGAACCTTTTAAATATTTTTGTTCAGTATTTTCATTTATATGCTCTAGCTGCTGTATAAATTTGATTACTATAAATTTGCTTTGGCTTCTTTTTATCGCTGTTGGGTTTTGTTAAAACTTACCATCCAGTGACAGATCTCAACACCTTCCTTAGTATTCCATTTCACCATTTGCTTGCACTTTTTCTGACTTGTTTCTGGGAAAGTCATTTTGTATTAGCTTGCGGTTTAATTATTTTGTGTGTGACACTTAGGAGGTCGGCATAGAACTTGGTTGGCTAGCTTTACTTACGTAACTAAACTATGCCTCATTAAAGTTCTATTAAAAAATTCATTAAAAATATTACTTTCCAATTTTTAGTGTATAGTAAGTACTTGTTTCTGAAAAATGTAAATATACTTTTGTTTGTTTGTTTTGGGTGTAGTGGTGGCAGTTTGGGAATTGGGGGGTAAGGAGAAGGTGATTTTTTTTGTTGTCTTTTTTTCATTTTTTGTTTTCAGTTCTCTGCCACTTCACTGTTTGACAGCCAGGTGGCTGGTATTTTATAAACCTAACTAAGTTTTTACCAGCACTTTCTTATTGCCAGTCAGAATGCAGTTCTTTATTCTGCATTGTATATTAGACTTCAGTTTAAACTTTGTGGTTGTTTGGAATCCAACCTCCAGCAGTTGAGGGAAGGGTTTAGGTTCATTTGGTCCCTTTACAGCATGTTTTCATTGCAACCCACATACTTACTATAGAAATACAAAGAAAAGTCCTCTAAGTATATCTTGAAACTATACCTTAATGAAATATTAAGAACTTGGGAGAGTCAACATACATTTTCTATAGCCTTCCTCCCTGGTTGGATTTGGTAACTGTGAAAGTTGCTTTTGCTTGTTTGATTTCTGTGAACATCTGAGTTTACATCTGCTGGTCATCTATGAAGTTGGCCGATAGAAGGTAGTTCCTGATTGCTTTTCTTAACTTCGATCTAACCTAAAGGATGAGACTTGTTACTATAAATATATGCATTTATTTATAGTTTTATCTGTTTATCATAGAAGGTTGTTTTTGAGATTTGTTTTTTTTGTTTTTTTTAGAGTAAGTAAAAAATTGAAGCTAGGACATACTCTCTTACATTCTGCTTCCCTGTTATATCTTGAAACTGACTACCTTTCTCAATAATATGTTGGTGCCAAAGAGAGAGGAAGATTAAAAACTGTTTTAAAACCTGAATATCTTTATTATCCGAAAGTATAGCTTGAGTTGAAAATATTTAACTGTTCTTTTCAGTATTTTTGTGGTCATCATTGTTAATTTAATATAAACCTACATTACTTGGGGAATATAAGACAAACTATATGTATTTTAGTTAAGTCAGGATGAATTTTTTTTTTTTTAATATTGCCAGAAGGCACATGTACTTGCTAGAGTGAGAAAACCCCACACTGAGGGAAGGCCACACCACAGTCCTTTCTCCTCCATTCCTCCGTCCCATCAGGATTTTAGGCATGCATGCACATGTGCTTCATATGTTTTTCAAATAGCCATGGCTAGGACCCAAGCCTTGGACAGACATGTGGGACTCAGCTCCCTTAACTCTGAACTATGGGACCAGCCCAGGAGGATGATTTTTAGATAGATTTTTGCAATAACTCTAACCCTCTTATTTTGCTTCCTTTTGGGTTATTATTTTTCTTTTTTCTTTTTTTCTCTTTAATTTGCTATGGGCCACATGTGCTCAACATAGAGAGACAGAGTAAAAGAAAGCACTCCCCGGGGGACAAACACACTGCAATCCCTTCTCCCCCGTTCTTCTCTTGGGATTTTGGGCACATAAACCCACTGCCTGGTATGTTTTTCAAACTGCTGAGTCCAAGACTCAGTTCCACTCAAACTACGTGGAATCCAGCTGCCACCACCTGGCCCCTCCTTTTGAATTATTCTGCCAAGATACTTGAACTATTAGCTAACAGATTCAGATATAAGACTTTACAAACCATTAACCCTGGAGAGAAGAATTTTCACTCTCTCCCAAAGTAGTGCTTTTGATCACTTCCTCTGATATTTTATTTTCTCCATCTCTTCCTTACCTGAAGAACCATGTGATTTATATTTATCTTTAGTAATAACTTGATGCTTTGAGTAGTAGCTTATCATTCATCGTAATATATTTAAACTAACCAAATCATTTGCCGTGTTTGAGAGCTTACATTAACTTCCAAACCATTTGCTGTGGAAGAAATTAATGGAGAAAAAATGATGGAGAGGAAGGTTCAAAACATGGGGCAAATCAGTCAACTTAAAATCTGGAGATGTCATATGACAAATCATTGTGTTCTATTTATAAGACATAGATAACTTCCATATCACAAACTAATCCAAATTCGGGGCACTTTCTATAACAGATAGAAACTTGAATGTATTTGGGTGGCATCTGCTACGTAAATGTTACATCAATTAAGGATATATTTATTCCAAAGTGGAATGTTAAAAGTACTCTCCTGTTTTACAAATATTCTCAAAAATGGAGTTTATAATTTTAAAATAAATGCAATATTACAGTGTTCAAAAGATGTGTTGTGCTCATAAAAAGACTCAGATGTTTACAGAATGTTGCCCTTTGCATCTTGGGTTGTGGCTAATTGAGGAACCCCTTGTGGCTTACCATCACTGACTGTCATTTTATACTGTAAGGTGTGGATCCAGAATTGTATGAGTTAACAACTTCTAAGCTGGAAATCTCAACCTCAAGCCTCAAAGTGACCGACGCGTTTGCAAGACTCATGTCCACCGTGGAGAAGACCAGCACGTCTACCAGGTAGGCAGCTAGTGTTAATTACACTCATTTTGAAGTCTGAGTTAAAATAGCCCAAAGGGAAAGCATGTACGTGGGCAGTATTTTCATACACTGTATTAAAATGTACTTTATCTAAAAGCCAACAGGGGCCTAAATTCATAAAAATGTATCGAATTATGTCTAACTGTAAACTTCAGCAGAGCAGTTATTTCTTAAGATTCTGGGAAGAGCCAATAGATAGGTGCTTTTTCCCTCTTTTCTCCCCTCCCCAACTTTATAGAGAATAATTTTGATAAGTATTGAGATCATAAAGCATTGTAAAAACACTCCTTTTCCTTTCCACTTACTAAGATCATCTTTAGGAACCCAGTTCCGTACTTCTAGAGTCACCTAAGCTGCTCTTTTCACATGTAGACTTAGAGGTAGAGTAGACAATAGCCACTGTTGGTTTCAGTTTTTGCTGATGAACACCTGGTTTGGGATGTGAAGCCTTGCTTTACCACGCTTTCTGGGAGCCCCTTCATGAGCATGACTTTTAGAAAAGGAGTTTTCTCTCAGTGGGAGAACCGGAGAGGAGGAGTGTCACTTGGGCCTGTGTTTGAGACTCAGGAAACCTTTGACTCTGTGTAATTAAGCACAATAATACTCTACTGCTTTGATATCTTAGCCATAAGAATAAGCCAGTTTCTAATAGAAAGGCAATCATTATGAACCAGAAAATCATAGTATAAGAGCAAATACTAGTTAATTGGCACACCAACTCTGCTGCCCCAAATCCATGATTTGTCAGCATTTTGGAGTAGAAATATTTACCTGTTAGTTGCCCACTTTGGGGTATGTATTATAACTCTTTTTCCAGAATAAATACATGCCACTCACATGTTAAATTCAGATATACCTTTTAAATCAGTTCTTCTACAAAATACCAACTTACAAAATGCTTTCTTGGGGCCAGCAGGTGGTATGGTGGTTAAGGCTCCAGACTCCCACATGGCCAACTGTGGTTCTAATCCCAGACACAGCAGCTTGAGAATCACACCAGGCACACATGTGCACATGCCCAAAATCCCAAGAGGAGAATGGATGAGAAGGAACTGTGGTGTGGCCAGTACCCCTGGGGTGGTGATTTCTCACTTTCCTTCTTCTGTCTCTGTCTCAATCCGGGGTGCACGTTCTATGGGAAAAAAAAAAAAAAAAAAGGCTTTCTTGTGAATGATAAAATGTTTATCTGTCTTAAAACTTTAGCCTTCTAGACTTCATGTGCTTGTATCATTCATTTAACACAGTAATACTATGAACATGTATAATCATGAAAAACCATTATTATGCATTTTATCACTGTAAATACCTTAGGTTTCCCCTGGAATGGATTTGGAGCACACATGTTTCGTGTGTCCAGATTCTCTCTGCCTCTTACTGCCCTGTGTCTTCCGCTTGGCACTGCCAAGGCCTCTCATTAAATAACCTACTTGTAAATGTGGCTATTGTGGACATTTTGCTTGAACCTCATACACGTTTCTCATCACATTTCTCTATATATTAACTAAAAGTTAATGCACACTTGACTTTAAAAACAACAACAAAAACTGATGCTTTTATGGTTTGGCCTTCCCAGCTATTTTTAGGACAGTCCTTTCTGGGATGGCCCTCCTCACTATTTTCCCCTGTAGTCTCACCAACTGAACTGCAGTCGTTTTGGAAATCCCAATGATGAGAATTCATTTTTGTGCCATTAGGAGGAGCTCTAAACCACATTATTGACCTGCTAGGACTCCTAATATTTTGACTCATCCTTGAAACATGCTGTTCACTAAGGAACCTTTTCAGCTACCACCACTGTAAGAAGTCGTTTTCATGTCCCCTCTTATTCTGCACTATTAGGGAATGAACTAAATCTGTAGCCTAGGGGCAGTGTTATAGCTGCATTGAGTTACCTTCTAGTGCCTGTCCATTTTCATATTAAAAAAAAAAAAATTGAAAAGAAAACAAGTTGCCAACTTTGTGTTTTCTGTTTTGAAGAATACAGATTATTTTTAAATGCTTTGAAAAGTACAAATATCTAAGTCTTAGAATTAAAAGTTAAAGTCTTAAAATACTGTAAAATATCACCACGAGTGGTTCTCAGTTGTACGAGAAGAGGCAGGCGGGTGGCATATATACTTTCAGAAAGCTCTTTCAGCGTTTTGGTTGTTGTCGGGGTTTGTGTCATTTTTGTTCTGAATAAAACAAATGCTGAAAGTAAAGCTCAGCACTGTCCTCTTGGCCATGACAGTTCGGGGCACTGGGAGTGCCTGGAGGGATGAAAGGGTTGTGGAAATCCAGCAGGGAGCAGACATCACGTCACGTACCTGGGTGTGTAAGGAAATGGACATGTGTTGTAGTCCTTCAGTACATGAGTTAGGAAGACCTCTCACTTCAAGTTTTTAAAGAAATTTAAGTTTTTAGTTTAAAAATAGGTCCATGTTTTTGCTTACCTTTCCTAATGTGGAGAAAAGTTACTTCCTAATCTAAATCAGTAGGTGGCCTACTGCTTAATAGCCACAGGTCTTTAACTGGAGTTTTTATAAGCCAAAGGACTAGTTCCCAAAAGAGATACCATTTTTCCTGGCCTTCCTATTGAGGTATAATTCACATACTATAAAACTCACTCACCTTGGGACCAGCAGTTAGCATAATGGCTATGTCGCTGAACTCCCATGTAGCCAACCGTGGTTCGAGTCCTGGACCCGGTGGCTTAAACTCACGCCAGGCATGTGTGTGGGCATGCCCAAGATCCCGAGAGGAGAATGGAGGAGAAGGGATTGCGGCATGGCCATCCCCCCTGGGGGGTGATTTCTCGCTTTCTATCTCTCTGTCTCTCTCTGTCTTTCTGGTGAGTGCATGCGCCTATAGCAAAAAAACTCTCAAAAAAAAAAAAAAACTCACCTCAAGTATGTAGCATACTGAGTTTTAGTATTCACAAGGTTTTGCAACCATCATCACTAATTCCAGAATGATTATTATTTTTAAATTTCGCCAGCATGTGCTCACGAGAGAGAGAAAGTATAAACCCCCACTCGTGGGGGTGACCACACCACAATCTCTTCTCCCCCCTTCAGGATTTTGGGCACACATGCACACACTTCCTGTGCGTTTTTCAAGCTGCAGGATCTAGGACTCAGTTGGTCATGTAGGATCCAGCCACCTCAACCACTATGCCGAGAGCCTAGAGCTGACCCTACAGAGTACCTTTATCCCCTCAGAAAGCAACCTGTACCCATCAGCAGTCCCTCCTGCCCCTCCTGTTCCTGATCCCTGGCAGCCACTAACCTACTTTCTGTCTCTGGTGGTCATTTCACATCAGTGGAATCCTGCAGCCTGCAGCCTTTTGCATCTGGCTTCTTTCATTTAGCAGTGTGCTTTTTTTTTGTAATAGAGGTTTTTGCTGTAAGGTGCATGCGCTCACCAGAAAGAACAGAGACAGATACAGAAAACAAGAAATCGACCCCTGGGGGGATGGCCACGCTGCAATCCCTTCTCCTCCATTCGCCTCTCGGGATCTTGGGCACGCACGCACTTATGCCCGGTGTGAGTTTAAGCCACCTGGTCTGGGACTCAAGCAGTGGTCGACCACGTGGAAGTCCAGCAACATAGCCATTATGCCAACTGCTAGTCCCATTTAGGAGTGTGCTTTTTAAATTCATCTGTGTAGTGCCATGGGTCAGTGTTTCATTCCTTCCTCGACTGTATAATATTCCATTATGTGGAAATAACACATTGTGCTTATTGGTCAGTTTTGATAAAATTCATTTTACGTGTATTTTCCCCTTAGGTTTATGCTTTAGGTGTCATACCTAGAAACCACTTCCTGATTCAAGGTCACAAAGATTTATGCCTGGGTTTTCTTCCAAGAGTTTTATGGGTTTTATCTTTACATTTAGGTCTTCAAATTTGAATTGTTTTAAATTGTTGTACATGATATTAGGTAGGGATTCAGGTTCATTCTTTTCATGTGGATATCCAGTTGTTCCAGCACTGTTTGTTGAAGACTGTTCTTTCCCCCATTGAAAGGTCTTGGTACATTTGTCCCCAAAAAATGAAAAATCTGTTTATCTTGGATGTTTATTTCTAGACTATGGATGGGGGGGGTTTCAAAACTTTATGGAAAATTGGGAACCAGCAGTTAGCGTAATGGCTATGTCGCTGGACTCCCACGTAGTCGACCGCGGTTCGTGTCCCGGACCCGGTGGCTTAAAACTCACGCCGGGCACGTGTGTGTACGTGCCCAAGATCCCGAGAGGAGAATGGAGGAGAAGGGATTGCGGCGTGACCATCCCCCCTGGGGGGTGATTTCTCGCTTTCTGTCTCTATGTCTCTCTCTGTCTGTCTGGCGAGCGCACGCGCCCTATAGCGGGAAAAAAAAAAAAAAAAAAAAACTTTATGGAAAATTGAATTAAAGTACAAGTTTATCAGGTGCAAATTTTTTTGAAATATTGTGTGGTTTTCACAGTGCATATTTGTCATTAACTTTCTGAAGACCTTTCATGTTCCATTGACAAAAAAGTATTGATCGTAGAGACCAAAATTTAACTTTGAGAAAAGGTAATGATAGAACTTTTCATTTTTAAATTCTCCTCAAGCACTTCCTTCTTATATTCTAGGACCAGCCTACATCCGTGCGCAATTGCTACAGATATACGCACAAACTATAAACATGTAGCGCTCATTCTAAAATACAGTCTCATACTGCCTCTGGGTAGCACCTCTGAAATGCAGCTATTGGCAAATCGAGAATATCTACCAACTATTTTCTGGGCCAAAGCTTCTTCCTTGTTCTTTTCCTGCCCCCAACTACATTTCACAATGAGGAAGTCCATTTAGGTTCAGTTTTATTTGTTATTGTTCAAATAATCTTTTATCACTATAGAGACAGTAACATATTGGATCATCAGAAAAGTCATGATGCATTTTCTGTATTTTTCTGTGTAAAAGTGTGTCATAACTTCTGACAACCCAATATTATAGAAAGTTAGAAAATAACATTTTTTAAATTAAAGAATTACATTGTTACCATTCAGATCACTGTAACTCCTTAGTGCATATCTTTTTTTCGTTTTTCTTTTCTTTTCTTTTTTTTTTTTTTACTATAGGGCATATGCACTCACCAGAGAGAGACAGAGTCAGAAATCACCCCTCAGAGGGGATGCCATACCACAGTCCCTTCTCCTCCATTCTCCTCTCAGGATGTTAGGCACACATACACACATGCCCAGCAGGAGTTTTAAGCCGCTGGGTCTGGGACTCGAACCAAAGTCAACTATGTGGTCATCCAATGATGTAACCATTACACCATCTGCTAGTCCCATATGTATGTATTTTTAAAAACAAAACTGAGATTTTTCTAGTCCATACTGAATTGAACCTACTCTGGTAGCCAGTGCTCTGCATCTGTCCATTTCAGTGAGCTTTCATTTCTTCTGACCCAGGTTAGATTCCAGTTTCTCCGACAACAGCCTCCCTCTGCTTTGTACAGTTCGCTGTTCAGACCAGGGCTGCTGGATCCGACTAGGATGATTCTTAGGCTCACTGTAACCTAGCCCGCCCCCTTCCTTTTATTTGTTTGCTTTCTGTTTAATAGCACTAGCTTGTTTAAAAGGCCAGTCTGGTTGTCCTACAGAATGTCCCAAGCTCTGGGTTTGTCTCTTTGCTTTCCTTCAGGTAGTATACCTTTGATATCTTTCCTTAGAAATTGTAAATTGTGTTTAAAGGTTTGCTGAACCCAGGTTAAAGATCTTTGCTAGAATATGTCATAGGTGTTACCGCACATCCAATGACACACAATATCTGGTTGGTTCCATTGTTAGTGATGCTCAAATTAACCATTAGTGAAAGGCTAACCTTTTCCATTATGTGGTTCCAGTTTTTCACTTGTAGATTAGAAAGTAATAAATCTAGTTTTACTTTGGAATGATGCAGATACCCAATTTTCCAAACAGTCATCTAATAGTTTTCCCTCCACTTAAGTGCAATTAAAATAGTAGATTTTAAATCAGAAAAATTTGCGGATTGCTATTCCACTTTTCTAAGAAACCCTACAACTGTGTTCAGTACTGGCTGACTTGTTGATATGTCTGCAGCTGTTTGTCTACTGCAGACTAAAAGATGTAGTTGGATTTTTCATTCATTCTATAAAATCTGTTCATTTCAGCCTGGATTCAAAAGTGGCAACAACAGTCTAGGTGAAAAGTTAGAGGCCACATCTCTCCCTCCTTTCTTGCTTCACCTTTTGATTACCTGCTCCCTATCCCAAGGAAATACTTAGATGCAAGAAATAATTTGTGTCACATCTAATAGAGCACCAACTGTCCTTTAGCATAAAACAGAATTGGGTTTTTTACAGTCAACAATATTGAATGAACTTTGCTCTAAAAATTAATAATCTGTATGAACAAAACTATTTCTTTAGCGTATTTAGTTAACATCCTGGAAAAAATACAGTTTGGATTGTAGTCATGTGCTCAATTTGAGCCACATTCGAGGCTCGTTTGGCATTTTCTACAGCTCACCTTCTGGGAAGACCTGGGTCACCTGGAGTTTTCAGTATCTGTGCTAGGCACCCAGCTGCTCACTTCTGCTATCAGAGGCCAGTGACGGACAGTACCCTTCACCTGTGAGACCCGTAGGCGTTAGAGATTCCCCCTCCGTGGGTCCCTTCCCGCCTCTGTGCATCCTCCACACCTGGCACCAGCCCTGGCGCTGCTGCTTTGGGACATGCCGTCTGTCCCCCACCAGGCTGAGCCTGGGCGTTTTTGAGCAGAGGGCTTTCTCTCCTGGAATTCCCCATGGGGGTAAAGAAAGCTTGAGATCCCAATGACTTAGAAGCCTTGCACCAGACATACTGAGCTTTATGCTGAGGTACTTTTGGTAGTTTCACAGGGTCAGGGGAATACCCAGCTGGGCAGAGTACCATTAGTGCTTCAGTATTATATTTCTGCTTAGTAGCATTTTGAATGATGCCTGTGTACATTTGCAGCCTCAGGTACAGCAGCGAGCTGGCACGTGTCCGTGTGTGTATCAGTGTGTATATGCCTCGCTTTGATGCACACCTGTAAATGGGCTAGGGATTGCCCTTCCTAAGAGATCTGGTACCTGGCACAAGAAGCACAAGTATTACAAGACTGAGGAACTAGCAGAGGAAAAGCCACTCCTGTCCCCAGATGACTAGCTGCCTACCTTGAGCGTATTTTTTGTTTTATTTCTTTTTCTGTGACCTACTGCAAAGTCACTCTAACAACCTTGCCTTTTTCCCTTTGTCAATAGGAAACCGAAAAGAGAAGAGCATCTGAGTGAAGAAGCTGCCAAGGTGATCGCGAGCCTTCCCGACCTAACGTTCATGCATGCCAAGGTGTTGATGTTCCCAGCCACGTTGACACCGTCCACAAGCTCCCAAGAGAAAGCAGACTGACAGCCGATGTGAATTGGACAGTCACGACTGC